TAGATTTACAGTAATGTTTGGAGATTGATGATAGCGCATTAATTCTACACACCTCTCCCCAACTGGCGAGTGCCCATACAAACGCTTCCCATGCGACGGTGTTTTCAGTCCACATTCATCAAAGAATTTTAGTTTGAATGGGTCTTTATTATAAAGGTAATCAATAAACATTTGAGTATACGTGATGCTTTCAACGGTGAATCTTTCCTGTGCTATAGTAGACTTTTTTGCGGGAATACTGTTTGCCTGACAGCATGCGCTCTTTCAATGCGCGGGAAATTGCCGAGTGAGACGTTCCGTTAGGAATGTTACCAAATTTCTCAAGCTTTTCGTGGATTTCTTTTAGGGAACAGGTAGGTCTCTCGTTCTTTAAAACTTCCACAAGCTCCAAATCTCCTTGAGTCAAACTTGAAGGATTTCCTCCTCCGATGTTTTCCTTTGTTTCAATTGTACAGTCGTTGTACAAACGCTTCCAAATGTTCTTGACTGTATCACGGCTTACTTTGAATGTATTCGCAACGTCAGAAAAATGTCCAGGAAAATAACCAGTCACTGGGTCGCCTCCATTTCGGACTRTTTCATCAATAATTGATCTCCTGATATCATAACTCAGTGATTRACCTTTTATAAAAGTTCTTCCTTTAGTATTTATCCTATACATGATACGCGACGATACGCGACAATGACACGGCAACCTTGAAACGTTGCCCCTGATAACATCATAGTATAGACGTCAAAACTATGTGACAAAACTTCGGTCACGCCAAACTTAACTGCAAAGCGTAGTATTGTTTATGGTACTAGGACCCTTCAAAATGAAGTCTCTTGCAGCTAGAATTACTCCAATTCCACAGCTTCCAGTTCCTACAGATGAATGTGTGCTTTGAGTGGGCATACCAAACCGTGTGGGGTTGGAAACATTTGACCAGAACTTGGGCTTGAACCTCGATGCTGGGTACAGGTCATGGAGAATATCCAGTCTATTCTTTAATAGCTGTAGGTTATTTGGTGGAATTGGAATTTTCCTGCCATCATCAAACAACACTTGCTGATTAGTCAGGTCAACATAGCTAAGACCCCAATGACTTCTGCCTGTGTAATGAACTGGTAATAGTATTTGTGATATTTTAGAAGGGTCGTGACTGTTAATTAATTTCTTCAATTGATCTTTTTTAAATTCCTTGTTAATGGAACTACTACTAAGTCATCCAACAGAAAAACTCAGAAGGCATATACAGGGTGTTTTCAGTGCCACACTGCAAGAACTTTCCAATGCAAATATCAATCAGGAAGTTGTCAACATATCGCTCCTCTACAAGATCACAGTAATTGAGGGGATCGATTGACTTCCCATTGTTTAGCAATATTCTGTTGAAAGAAACGGTGAGCCACATTGCCTTCTTAACCATTTCCGCCTCTTGTTTGTTCAGACTGCCTTTCAAAATCCACCTCTCTTCAGCAACCAATTTTTGTTTTGTCTTGCAAATAAAACAAAATTTCTTTAAAATATCCAGCCCATCAAGGTCAAAGTTTCCAAAGCCAGGAAGCTGTATTCCCATTGGAATTTTTTTTCGTTTCACTCTTTCTCTATTAATGAGTGCCTCCGCATCACAGACGGTAGCTTCACCAGCGCGTATAGATAGCAAATAGGGATCCGCTACTGTGATTGTACAATACAGAACTTTCATTGTACCAACAGCAAAAGAATCCTTTGGGAGCCTGTCTGCCAAGGAAGCCATTTCCCATCTAGTCATTTGCACTGACATGCAGACTTGCAATGGTAGACGGATGGGACGGTGGTGTATACGAAGGTGTTGGAAAGGGTATTAGAACTGAGCTAGTAGATGGGGTGCATTTTATGCATTTTGGTCTTTGGCGTTGTTTAGGCCATGCAACTTTATTTGATTTGTTTTCGAAAATCAAATCAAAACCAATCATGTTGGAATAAAAAAGCGAACTGTAATCAAGCAAAAACGAACAAATACATAATATTGAAAACAAGTGAAAGAAAAAGGAATATAATCAAACTTAAAACAAAAACGAAACAAAATAAAACACAATGCAAAAACAAAATAAAATAAAACGAATGAAAAAGAAAAGCGAATACAAATGTTGATAATAGCAATAATAATAATGAAAATAAAACAATTAAAGCATCAATATATCTATACGTGATTTAAAAAAATGCTATGGCGTCAGTAGGCCACCAAATATATATATGATAAAAGGGCAATCATAAGGTTCCTCGTAAAATTAATCCTTAATTTAACTCGGCGCCATGCGATTACCTATACTAATTTTTAGTCAACATTGGCCCATTGAAGGCAAAATAAATTTTGTTTTATTGAATAATAATCAAATAAAATTGTTCAAGTTACTTTACTTTGAGACAGATATGTAAAACATGACACGCCAAAACCAACAATTATTTACATCAAGGAATGCAATTCTAATGGAGTTTTATGTTTCACTTTTGACTCTTCATAGCTCGTTGATGGCTTCTTAAAATTCACACCACGGGATTGTCTTGGAGAAAGGGAAAGCACCACATTTTTTCATATTGATGTTTGAGCGATGCATCTGATGATATTCAAGAGAAGAGAGAACTAGATGCAGAAGTTAATGTTGATTGTACAAAGTTTGAGAGATATTCCTATTAACATTCAGGTATGTCCTGGTTTTGGGTTTATCATCTACCTCAAAAACATAAAAATGTGAATTCCAACCAAGGGTTGCTATTGAGATTTCCATCAAATACACAAATTTTCCTCAGCTCAGCAATTGTACATCTCCATTTTGATTACTAGTACCAATTCAAAAAATGCAGCCTTACTTGTATGTTGTTCCATCTATAGTTACCCTTTTAGATCTAGACAAAAATAAACCAACAAGAAAAGAAAATCAAATGGATTGTAGTACTAGATAGATGTGGCAGTGCGCCGTGTGGGATGGGCTCGGATATCAAATAAGAACATGCGTAATAAGTAAATTACGAGCCTTAGATCAAACGACTGAAGAAGAGTGCCATACAAGCCTTTCACAACTTCAAGTCGCGTAAAAAACGAGCCAGCTCAACTAGAAACTGTGGACAGCTGTTTGGATTGTAATGAATTAGGTACTTCCAGACCCAGACTCCTCTTCCTTCATGGTCTTCCATCCAGCAATGAATAATGCTGCTTTAATTTAGAGTATATGATAATTTATATAATAGATAGTAGATAGTCTCATATATATACTCCGTGAGAGTTGTTTACCTGTCTATTTGGAGAACTGCATGATAGGGAACATAACCAGCAAAGGTGATTTTACCTGTAAGTACTTTTCATGTACTTATGTGTAAAAGATTCAAGTAGCTGATCGTAAATGCCTATATATAGCGAGATTTACGATTGAATTCGGAAAACATAATACAGTTTACATTATTTACAGCAGTAAGAGTATAGTAGCAGTTGCTGTAGCAGTACATACTTTCAGTAGAAGTAGTTGCAGTATAGCAGTAGCATAAGCAGTGTCAATAGCATAGCAGAATATATTCTTCACATTATCAATTATACACCCAACTCGTCTTGGTGAAATGTTTTCTCATTACAGACCATGTGTCGTTTTGTAGGGGGCACTTTGCACCTTCTAGAGACTGATATGACCCTATTTTAACAGTCGTTATTTTAATTGTCGTTCGACGATTTTTTGAATGCCGCTTTCATGGATATTTTCTATCGCTTTTGACAACAAATGGGGTCATTTAGCTTCATATCAAAAAATCCATAACGTTAGAAAGAAAGTCACAATTTGATTCATACTCAATAAGGACAGTGTCTATATCCGTACCTCTATTGTACCTACTAAGAATATTGAATCCACTAAATTAAAGTCCCGATATACAAGGGCATGCATATATGGAGTAACTCTTGATTGCAAATAGCCCATTCTTGTTGCACCAAGAGAACAGAATAAATTAATAAATATCTTTGCTTTCTCAAAAATATCAAGGTAATAATAATCATTTGARTTTGATTCACAGTTAATCATCATTGAGTTCTTCAAAATCTTTCCAGAGTTTAATTACTGTATCCTTGGATTCTGGAAAGAGGATATCCAATTCTTTCAGTTTGTCAGGTAGTAGTCTCAGCATTTTCATCTAATCCCATTAGGCTAGTCCAATCATATGACCCACTACCATTTCCATCTGCATTTTTTTACCCATATTGCAAATGTTATGCCAAGATCATTAATTGCCTTAACTAGTTTGTTCAAATAAATCCCATCCAGCTTCTTTCCTTTGGCCTTATTGAAGTTTTCATCACCATCCTTTTCCATTACTTCTTGTATTAAATTTTCAGTTAGCCTGTCTGTTATTCTGAGCATTAAATTGAGCTCATCAAGAACAAGTTCAATATTAAATAGTGGTTTGTTTATGCAAGAAAATTTTGTCTTGTAATTACTTTCTAGACTTTTGATCGTTCTCATGAGATCTCCTTCATYGAAGTGCATGAGTGGCTTTGTTGTATCCCATCTCATAAGTTTATAGATCAAACACCAAAGGCAGGCATAATCTGATGTTGCACCGCTCATCCCCATTGTAGGCGTTTTCAGTGCTCTGCCTCGGGACTAGGTCGAGATGCGTGTTTTTTCAAAGGTTTTATTCAACGTGGTTCGTCCATCAATCACATATTTCCTTCGTAATCGTTTACACGTTCACACGAATATAGGTTCACAAAAATACACGATTCGCTGTAGAATCAAAAACTTATAGTCATCAAAATGTCAATAAACTTCTAACAAACTCAAAAAGTTCACTTACACATTTTGTGGCTGTCCCGAGGGGATTCTAGGACAGTCTCGATCTCCTTCCGTCATAACAGTCAACTCCTCTCACTCAACTCCTCACTTCCACTCCCCCCGGGCCCTACGAAACAGCACTTCCACAGGTATTGATGAAAATAATGATAATGTTAGTAATAAAACCAATCAAAAAATATGGCATATGTTTCCAAACCCACTCTTTGGTGATGGAAGAATGAAGCCAGGGACATACATCTAAGGCCCATGTGTTTAAACATAGTGAACACTTTCGTGACTGATCCTCCTCTTAACAGTATTGCCATGCACAATAGAAAATTCCCAGCAGGAATTTTCATAGATAGCATGTTTGGTTGACTTGACCAAACGGTGTGTCTTTTAGGACATTTAGGACTTGAGCAGTCAGTTGTCACTACAACCATGGTACCAATTTCTTTTGCTTCTACAAGAGGTTTTTTTGCACCACAAGAATGGCAAATTTGGAAGAGCATTAGCAGCTGCGACCAGAAAACAATGAACTTGGGATGAGTCCTTAGATTGTCTTCTCCTACAATGAAACTGAAAAAGCGAAAGAAATCAGTATTTGTTATCAATGTAAGTCCTGATGTTAAACCAAAAATATGGACATGGGAAATATACCTTGATGGTTGGTTGTCCTCTTCATCGGTTATCGACGATTCTGTTTCTGTTTCTGTCTCATACTCCATGTCAACCTCATTCTCGTCCGATAACATCTCTTCATCTTCGTCCGAAGATAGACAATCTTCTTTACAAGGATCATCAAGGTGATCTTCAACATTATTCTCGTGCGGTGGTGCAATTTTTTAACCAATGGAGTCTTTACAATACAAAGTTTCTAGCTGCTCTAGTAATTTCTGGTCTACGAAAGTTAAATAGTTGAAAAAATTATAAACGCAATCTAGTTGTGCCGTAATTATAAGAGTAATGGAATACAGTTTGTTTGTTTTCAAGGAAAGTCCGACTTTACTAACTTTTTAGTTTTTCTTTCCTCAACTGTTCTTTCKTTATCTTCAAATGCGAACGTAGCGTGATAATCCTGTTTCGCATTTGTCGTTCTTTCGACGAGGATTGATGTGGTGTCGGAATAGTGGAACTCTGATCGAGACTCCAGTGTTTTCCCGGAGTTTGCTGCTGGTGCGTTGACATGATGCTGAGATGGTTTGTGTCGTCTCTCCTTTCCTATATAAGAGAAAAATTTCAAAGAATATTACCGTAATAATATACGATATACGTTTTCTGAAGTAAAAATCAACTCACGTCATTGATTTCCACGACTGGTGACACTGACTGGATATCATGCTCTTCTGTCTGCATACATRGGTCCCCTACAGTTTCAGCGACCTTTTGAGATTGCCTTATTTCTTTCATGATCTACGAAATATTTTACGCACACCATCAGTACCATAGATAAGCGAAATCTATTCGATTAAGTGAACAATTCCCAAATCCAAATATAAGCATGAAAACATAGTTATCATTGCTGACTAAGCTTACCTTCCTACGCGTTCGCGCACTTTGTGGTGGCGCTTTCTCTTTGTCGCTGACAAAAACAGTTGGATATGCTATTATGCCAAAATCATCTCGCCGTAATCTTGGGTGAACAGGGTTTTTCAAGCCCTCGATATTTGAAAACATGGTTTCATAGTCTTGCGACTTGAAATGCTTTGAGCATATTACGGACCATTCTTATGGTTGCCAGTGTTTGCGGTGAAGGCATACAAAGTCAACCCATCGTTTACGTCTTATTTTCGCTTCTGGGCGATCATCGTTAAAGAAGGGAATCGTATGCAGACTGATGCCTTCTTTCAAGTTGGATTTACTTTTACAGTGAGTTACAACACAATATTTAGGCATTTTATGACAACAAAATAACTTCTTACAAAAYTTGTACAATGCTTTGCAACAATAGGCCGCATGACATCTCACCCCGATGACGTATATTTTTCTCGTACCAGGACTTCTTGTGACGCGGTGCTGACATGTTGTGAGTGACTGGACACTAGTTTTTTGCGTACTTTAAAACGCTGTAAAAGCTTACGAATTTCTCCAAAATGGGAAAAAAAGTGCAAAAAAGCATTACTGAGATATTGAGAATTTCTTCCAAATAGGGGGAAAATTACACTTGAGGTGCACTTTAAGAGGTCGGCACCGATGGATCCACGAAAATCCACTAACACTTGATGCTAAGATGAATGTAAGTACAACATTAAAGTAAAGTATAGCACTTATTCCTCGAAGCTTTGAATCCTTTGGGCGGCCTCTACAACATACAAAATGGAAAATAACTCGCATAATTGAATGGCACTTAGGCTGTAGTTGTCATTTCGAGGACGGCACTGATAACAGGATGTCGTTTATAAAAGATATTACTAATTCATTTTAGAAGTCCATACATTTATCAGTGTTTTTGAGCAGCCATTTTTAAATGCCCAGATAGGGGAAATAATTGTTGCGTTGACGTCACATGTCCGGAATTTCTGGTAATGCGGACCTCTGTGCAATGCCAAAAATTACGTTTTATCGAACCCAGTTTGCATTGGTTGTAGTGCTCTTTCCATCTCGTTTGCTCTCTCACAATACAGATGAACCATGAGTACGTCGGGCAAGTATCTCTTTCTACAGTAGGTTGCTATGTCTTGAGAAAAGGAGGATATTTATGTCGACCCACAATGCATTACTCGAAAATTCGCACCCATATGCTTCAGAGAAACAAGATCGCGCCTGAAAAGAGCTGTTTTGGTAATCTTTTGGAATAAAGAAAACTTTTGCTTTGAAGCTACTATGGTTAGTAACCGGTTGTTTGTGCTTTCTTTGGTTATTGATCTTGGATTATCTTATTATTTTAAACAAAAATATAGCAAAGAAATGCTTTTTTTAGTTCAAAGCACTCGTAGGGGCGATTTAGTGGAAGTTGTTTTTTCCTCGGATTGCTTCAATATGTATGTTTTGAATTGTATCCCGTGTTTAAAATTTTGGTGCTTTTCAACAAAAATATAGATAATGGAAAATTTTAGATGATGTGTTATTCAGACAAGTTGAAAAGACCCTAAAAGACCCTTGATCTAGTCAATTCTTAGAGTGCTAAAAAACAACATTATATAATCAAATGAGTACAGGCTGCCTTCGATCGTAATGACTGCTTTTTCAGCGTGTGGATTATTTATCGACAACTAATGTTTTAAAAAACTCTTAAAATGTTAATAATTTAGCTTACCTAAACCTTAACCTTACCTAAACAAGAAATTATTTCAATGACACAAGGCGATCTCTGTTGACTGTGTTTACGCTTTTTCACCATTGAGAAAAACAACAATTCGGCGTTCACGTAAATGCGTAGAAAAGGTCACATGTCCGCCAAAAAGCTTTTTGAACTGAACTTCAAATTGCAAAAGGCAGTCAAAACAGTAAACATAGACCAGACCGCTAGCTTACCTTTAAGAATATCTAAAATGTATGACTTAATGAAGAGTTATTAAATTTCTCATCTCGAATCGTGAAGACTTCAGGCCTTGATGAGTTTTGTATTTTGCCTTCATAATGTTGTGTTTGTTCTAATCTTCACTGGTTGACTAGCTGATCTTTATAATCGTTTTCCTCTTTCGTAGGCTTGGAACAAGGCTTATGTCGTCTGATTCGTCACTTCCATTGTTTAGTACGCCACTTTAAGTCATTTTAATAATAATAATAATAATATTTATTTATAAAGCGCAAATACAAATCTGTTCTAAGCGCTAGTAAACAAACGACAAAGACAACGACAAAATAAAATTATTTACAAAGAATATGCTAATTTGAAGAGATAAGTTTTAAGTTTAGTTTTGAATGAGGCTAGACTTGATGCATTTCGGAGAGATATTGGAAGTGAGTTCCAGAGTTCAGGAGCAGCCACAGAGAAGGAGCGATGACCATAAGATTTAAGATTATAAGAAWGTGCTGATAGAAGAACTTGTGATGCAGAACGAAGATTACGGTTCAGTTTATACACTGAAATGAGTTCCCGGATATAGATAGGAGATTGGCCATGAAGAGCTTTAAAAGTAAGTAATAGGATTTTATATTTGATTCTAGATTCAATTGGTAGCCAATGCAGATTAACGAGGATAGGTGTAATGTGGTCATGTTTATGGGAAAGAGTGATTATTCTGGCAGCAGCATTCTGTACTGATTGTAGTTTATCTAAGAGTTTGTTTGGTAAGCCAAAGAGCAGAGAGTTACAGTTGTCGAGTTTGGAGGATATGAACGCGTGGACGAGAGTTTCAGTTGTTTTCAAAGAGATGTATTTTCTTATTTTAGCAATGTTTCTGAGATGATAAAAAGAAGACTTGCAAATATTATTCACA